AGCAACATTTATATTTATTAGTTGATCATCAGGTCTGATGCTCCTTCCAGTGAAGTCAATTTCAAAATAATAATTGATTTCATTGCTAGCAGGATTGAGCTCATTATAGAATAATCCCAAATGCAAATTCAGGCCAAGAATCTTTTTACTATGCCATAACATCATGTTATCACTATGAACTGTATTATAGTAACATAAATTAAGGAAAGAAGAATTGGCTTAGCCAACATGAGCATATTCATATTTTGTAACAGTAACAATTGCATTACATTTTGAATATATATTCCATTATTTCTGTTACAAAGGACATAATAGCTTGCTATTATATTATAGCTATGTTCTTTCCTTCCAGAAAATGTGATAGTACTCTACTCTCTTAGTGTAAGTAAAGTATAAATGAAGCTCAGCCAATTTTGCTCATTTATTAGCAGGTGGTGTGCAATAGAAGCAAGAAACACAGAAATGTGATAATTATTTTGAAACCTATAAAATGAAAAGCAGAAATTTTAGAAAACCTGCTTTATTTCAAAGTTTTTTCCTTCTGAAGTGTACTATTCAAAGATTTCTCATCTGATGTCTGATTAAAGTTTTCTCATCTTCTATGTTTTGAAAAATATAAAAGCAAATATGGAACTAAAACTGCAAGTTTATTTTCAGCATCAGTGGCCCAATGGCATGCAGGAAACAGGTAAAGTCCTCTAGTATTTTAAAAGGCACTTCCACTTAGATAGTGTTAACTATGTTTCAGATGTCAACCTGTTTGTGGATTGTATCTATAATCTCATATCTGTCCATAGAAAGTAAATTGCTCAGATTACTTTAAAACCATTTAGAAAGCTGTTGTCGAGATAGATGTGTTTTATACATAGTAGCAGGTTAATTTGGAGGGAAAATTCAATACAAAAAAAGCTTTAACTTTAGATCTGCAACATAAAACACAATGGTCATATTTTCATTGCAAAGTGACTACCATACTTCAAAAAAGTAATTAGCAGAACACCCAGGCAGTTTGCAATGTTGATGCTCCTTAGAGGCATGCAACAATTTTACATTTACAGGTATTTTATTTAATAATCATTTTTGTAGGTACTGTGATATATTACCCAGAAAACTGAAGAAGCTTGGGGCAATGTCATGCTATACCCAGGAAAATCACTGAGGCAGACCTAGATCTGATGCTAAAGAAGTTATGAACTGGGAACATTCTTATGCAACCAAGCTATAACGTTTGTGAGAAATTAATTAGCCATATTCTTTTTTATGGCATGATCAAATGATCAAATGTCTTTTAAAGTCTATGGAAATACTCTACAACTCCAGTTGTAGACAACTAATATGTTTTAATTCGTTCTTTAAACTGGAAACTGTATATAAACATATATTCTTGTGTATATACACATGTGCACTGGGTTGCAGCACACATTGAATGGAGATGAGGTTTATGATAGAAAGCAGCATGCTTTTTGATATAATTTCTTAAATCAGGGATCAAAATCGTAGGCAAATCAGAAGTTGATAATGTAAAACTATTTAAGGCTACATGGTTTAATTTCAGCACGTGAATTGTGTTCGTCAGTCAAGAGAAAAAAAGGGTATGTTGTCAAAATCCTGACAACTGGTTGCTACTTCAATGACCTGTATTTCTGTATGAATAGAGGGAGGCAAATGGGCTGACAGAAGGAGAGTGACACAGAATGAAATTAATTTGTAGTCATGTTTTTTAAACATCTGTAACAGTAGGGAGCTGTGTATTCTGTTTCCATAAAAAAAAAAAAACATGTTGTAGCTCAATTATTATAGCTCTCAAAAAATCTAACTGCACAGGGAAAAGTTAAAGGTGGCTCAAATCTACAGGGAGTTTTATGTGGTGAAACAGATCAGCAACTAAACTATTCCAAACCATAGCAGCCCCAATTCTAGCTCATCCTAAACATTGGGATGAATTCTGGCTGCATTTATCTCTGTACTCTACTATTTATGGTCCCCCCCCCTTCATAGTGCTATTCATCCCGAGACTTCATTTCTAGCATTGGCCAAACCAGCCATTTTATAATTCAAGAAAGAGTAAGCTTGATTTGGTACTGTATTATTTCCTCTTGTCTGTTTACACGTCTTCTATGTCGAGCATCTGTTCATTTTCTAAATCTTTTTTGGGCAGCATCAGGAGTTTGGTGCTTACTATCCCCTCTGCTGACACCTTCATTCTGACCATTTCTTTGGCCTTGAGGTTTTGATTTGTTTCCTATGTTAAATTGACAATTTATTTGAAATTCCTTTTTTTTCCCCAAAAGGGAAAGCATGTTTTTTCTGAGATGGGACAGACTGAGTGGATCTTCTCTATCTTTCACAGAGAATGAATAGACTAGAACCTTCATTCCATTCATATAAAAGTTTGAAAAGCAATTAATGTTATTAGTACTGTCCCTTGTTTTCCCCAATCCCCTCATTCTTTTTTTTCTTATCAAAAGCAATAAAATAAATGGCAAATTGTTCACACTGTTAGGAACTAATTGGTCTGAGAAAAGGGAAGAAATCCTGCATAGGAACTGCTGATGGCCAAAATATAGGTACAAATTAAAGTTTGTATAATAGGCACATGGATAAGTACGGGGAAGGCCTTCAGTCTATTTTCAGAATGTGTCCTGATAAATGCAAAAGAGAGTTTGGAAATCTTGTTACAATTTTTTTGAAGGAAACTTAAAAAAAATCTTTAAACAAGCAATTAATATTTAGAGAAAGTGAGCTTGATAAAGTCAGGTGCTATCCCTGCTTAAAACAAATTAAAAAAAATACTTTATATTTGCATAATAATTTAGGAATATATATTTTTCCAACAAACATGCTCCAGCAATAAATACATCAAATATTACATTTGTTTTCTGCATTTCTATAAATTCAGTTATCATCACATCTTCAAATCCTCATGCTGGCCCTTGTTCCCTTCCCTTCCCCCAAATATTCTTAAATAACTGCACCATTTGAAAGTCTTTTAAAGTAAGTAACATATTTTTATGGGGAGAAACCTTTCAAAGCATACATGCATAGTTTCATTTAATTTTTGATGTGGTCAGTTACCCGTTTGCATTTTTATGAATACCACGGTCTTGAAGTTCTTCTCAGCCTCAATGAATTCTTTTACTTCATTTTGTGAAGGATAGCAGGATGGCTTTAAACCAAGATCCCAGAGGTGAAAGTACAACAACTACAGCTATTCAACCTATCATTTCCTTTCTGGGAGATCATTTCCTTTTGGCAGCACAGTCTTTGCTTTTGTCTTTCAACAAAAATTTTACTTAATCTCTGTGCTTGGCCTTAAAAACCTAATGGACTGGATTTTATAAATCCTCATACCTCTCCAAAAAGGGTGATTTTCTTTAGTATAAATAAAGAGAATTTACATTTATAGAATACATGCAAACATTAAAATCAAAATGAGCTGTTTAAACGTAGGCAAGTAAAGGAAACTTATGAGGGTGTTTGCTTAGATATCTCAGCTTTCATAAGAGAAGGGTAAGCTACCTTTCATCAACCTGGCCTGAGAACTTCAAAGCACTACTTTGTTGCTTTTGGATGCGAAGTTGTAAATAAATGCAAGTGTGCAATCAGCAAAGGACTATAAAAGGACTCCACAGTATGTGCTAAGAAAATGCTGTTATTTCATTAACAGCTTTCTGGTTTTATTTATTTTTCTACAAAATCACTTTCATCCTGATCACACATTAACAGTTCATCTCTTTTAATGCAAGGGGAGTGACTGCAAAGAAAAGGAGGGGATTTAGGCAGGGAGCTAAACTAATTGGAGATGTTTTTAAATACTACTTTGTACTTATACTGCACCTTCCATAGTGACCCCAAGTCCATTGCAAAAACTAAATTAAAGCCCAAATACTCCTGCAAGGTAGGAAAGGATTATCGCTTATTAGCTCGAAAATTATTATCACTGAATTTGCAAGTGAATAAGAGCATGCAAGCTTACACATGAAAGTTCTTTTGGGCTTTCTGTATCCCTGTTAAGTAATGCAGAAGAAATGTTGTGCAACTTGCACATTCACACTGCATTTTAAGCTTATATAATTGTGGCCACACTTGAATTGGCATGTTTTCAAATAAATGCTCTGTATTCTGGCCTGACATCCCAACGTGCGTTGTTTCATCACTGAGATATTTCATTTCAAATATTGATATTACTAGTAGCAATAGAATTCTGGGGCTCAGGGTCAAACAAAAAAATCCCATTTCTCTTTTTCATCCCAGCATCCACCTGGCTTTTGCTAGCCAGTACCATTTTCAAAATGCCATCAGGCAGCATGGAGGAAATGCTGGCAACTGCTGTAGTCTTCACAGTGATTAATGTAAACAGGCTGCTACAAGCATGCTATGACATCAGAGCCATGCTGATGAAGTACCTGAGGGGGGAAGCAATAATCAAGCATACACTATTTCTTGATCTTTTCCTGTAGTACCTCACCTGATAAACCTCCACTGTATTACTCAGCCAGCTATCACTGACATTATCACTGGATAATGTTGCAGAGTTGGGATGAGCAAGAATCATAAAATCATAGAAAATTAGGGTTGGAAGGGACCTCAGGGCTAAGTACAGACAGTCTTACGTTATTCAGTCTTCGCAGGTTAGTCTAAGCGACATAGATTGAACTGATAAGCAAGTGAACAAACATTATCTTTTGATTCTGGAAATGCAGCCACATGCCTACAGCAGCTCTGGCCAGAGGGTGGGAGACACTAATGCACACCTCCCTGCTTGCCTGGATCAGACAGTGTGGGCCATAGCTAGCCCACCCACCCTGTGAAGAGAATTTTGTGGAGAGGTGCAAAGCATTCTGTGATGCTAGGGGACTGTGAGTTAACTTGAATCTTGAGGTGATCTGGTGCAAAAGCTCAATATACCAATTTAATCTAAATCAGTTAAGACTGATACTACATCCATGCAGGTTTATCTTAAACTGGTTTCAGCCATTTTGAAAGCAGTTTAGGTCCACTGAACTTCTGTTGTGTTATAGATTTGAACCAGTTTCTGATCACTTATACCAGTTTATAAATAATTTGTATCCCTCATCCAAGAATTAATCTAATCCAATTTCCTGCTCAAAACAGGACCATCCCCAACTAGATCATCACAGTCAAGGCTTTGTCTAGCCAGGTCTTAAAAATCTCTAAGGATGGAGAGTCCACAACCTCTCTGGGTAACCTGTTCTAGTGTTTTACTACCCTCCTAGTGAGAAAGTTATTCCTAATATCTAACCTTAACTTTCCTTGCTACGAATTGAGACCATTGTTTCTTGTTCTGCCATCTGCCACTGCTGATAATAGTCTAGCTCCATACTCTTTTGAACCACCCTTGAGGTAGTTGCAGGCTGCTATCACGTCCCCTCAGTCTTCTCCTCTCCAAACTAAATAAGCCCAGTTGCCTCAGCCTCTCCTCAGAAGTCATGCCCCATAGCCCCCTCACCATTTTCACCACCTGCTGCTGGACTCTCTCCAATTTGTCAACATTCTTTCTGTAGCAGGGGCCCCAAATGAACACAATATTCCAGATGTGGCCTCACCAGTGCTGAATAGAGGGGAATAATCACTTCCCTTGTCCTGCTGGCAACACTCCTACCAATGCAGCCCAGTATGTTGTTAGCCTTCTTTGCAACAAGGGCACACTGTTGGCTTATATTCAGTTTATTGTTCACTGTTACCTCCAGGTCCTTTTCTGCAAAGCTGCTGCCCAGTCATTATTGAGGCATGGGATTATTCCATCCTTAGTGTAGGACTTTGCATGTGTCCTTGTTGAACCTCATTAGGTTACTTTTGGCCCAATCCTCCAATTTGTTGAGGTCATTCTGAATCCTAAACCTATCCTCCAGCATATCTACTACTCTTCCCAGCTTGATGCCATGTGAAAACTTGCTGAGGGTGCACTCTATGCCATCTTGCAGGTCATTGAAGAAGACATTGAACAAAACTGGCCCCAGGACAAACTCCTGGGGCACTCCATGTGGCAAAATACCACCTCTGTCTCTCTCCAAAATCTCTGCTATGTGACAATTTGGTTAACATGGTCCCTGCAGAGGGCAGACATCCTATCTCTTTAGGTAGCCCTGAGTTGTAACCTGAGTTGGATGCCTTCCTGAGGGGGGGGGAAACCTGCTCCTTCTGCCTACATGACTGGCATCATATACCTGGGTGGGGGGCTTAGGCTTCCTATTGTTCTAAGCAATGCCAGTCTACCCGGCAATCAGAGATGCATTTCAAATTGGTTGGCTGGCAACCAACAAGTGCTGGCCTCCATTGAATCGGGTAATTGAGGTCATAAGGTCTATCTAAGTTAAGGACTGCCCAGGAGGAGGAGCAGTAGCCATGATGAAACTCACAGAGAGAAACAGAACCATCTGAAACTTGCTCTCTCTCTTGAAACTCATGACCAGCGAACCGCCTGTCTCCAGAGGGAATCTCCACCAGCCTCTGGATGATACTTGTGAATAAGCTACCTGAGATCTAACTAGATATATTGCTCGCAGTAACTCAGATGAATGAGCAAAGGCTACCCAGCTACCCTGTTTGCTCTATGGGATTTCTTTGATATTGCTCTACCCTGTACCCTATTCCAAACCTACTCCTTGTAACCATTAATATTCTCCTTTGTACCTAGCATGGAAGACTTATTGGGAGAGGGGCTAGATTATGCTTTGGGGTCCTCTTGGTTCGGCTGACTAAGGGAGACCACTATTTGTGCTTCAGACTAAGGAAAGCACCCCAAGTTCTTGAAGTAGGTTGAGTACCCTCAAGGGCTACTAGGCCTGTGTTTCCCAGGCGGCACAGAGCCAGGATCAGTCCAGACCCTGGGTGGTGTCTGTGTTACCCCCAGGCTAGCGGGTGTGCTCCAGGAAGGGGGTTGGCCAGACATGAGGTGCCTCCAGGAAGGCACTTGGAGCCTAGAAGGTGATTGGGTGCAGTGAGGTGGGTGGTTCAGCACAGAAACACCCCCTACTGGCCTGACACACTCCACTTGATACCAGTTACCAACCAGACATCAAGCCATTGATTCCCATCCTCTGAGCCCCATGATCCAGCCAGTTTTCTATCCACTTTACAGTCCATTCATCCAGCCCATACTTCCTTTGCTTGCTTGTGAGAATGTTGTGGGAGACTGTATCAAGCCTTGCTAAAATCAAGGTATACCATATACCCTGGTCTCCCCAAATCCACAGTTATCTCATCATAGAAGGCAATCAGATTGGTCAGGCATGACTTGCCCTTGGTGAATCCATGCTGACCTTTCCTAATCACCTTCTTCTCCTCCAAGTGCTTAGAAATGCATTGAGGATCTGCTCCATGATTTTTCCAGTGTCTGAGGTGAGGCTGACTGAGATGTACTTCGCTGGATCCTCCTTCTTTCCTTTCTTAAAGATGGGCACTATATTTGCCCTTTTCCAGTCATCAGGACCTTGCCCAATCACCATTAGTTTTCAAAGAAGATGGCCAGCAACCCTGCAATCACATCAGCCAGCTCTCTCAGCACCCTTGGGTTCATCCCATCTGGCCCTATATACTTGTACATATCTAGCTTTTCTAAATCATCCCTAACCTATTCTTTCATCACCGATGGCAGCTCACTTCCTCCCCAAACTGTGCTGCCAGGTGCTGTAGTCTGGGAGCTGACTTTACCTATGAAGACTGGGGTGAAAAAGGCATTAAGTACTTCAACCTTTTTTGAATCCTCTGTCACTAGATTGCCTCCTCCACTCAGTAAGGTACCCACACTTCCCCTGATCTTTCTCTTGTTACTGAAATACTTGTAGAAACCCTTCTTGTTACCCTTCATGTCCCTTGTGAGCTGCAACTGCAATTGCAATTTGGCCTTGCTGACTTGATCCCTGCATGCCCAAGCAATATTATATTCCTCCCTAGTTGTTTATCCAATATACTCCTCCCTAGTTTTTTATCCACGTTTCCACTTCTTATAATCTTCCTTTTTGTGATTTAGTTTACTGAAGAGTTCCCTGCTAAGCCAAGCTGGTCTTCTGCTATACTTGCTAATCTTCCTGCATATCAAGATGGGTTTTTCCTGCACTCTCAGTAAGGCTTCTTTAAAGTACAGTCAGTTCTCTTGGACTTCTCTCCCCCAGTTTGGCGTCCCAGGAGATCCTTCCCATGAGTCCCCTGAGCAAAATGAAGTCTGCTTTTCTGAAGTCCAGGGTCCTTACTCTGCTGCAGAGAGGCAGCAGAACTTCAAGATGTTAAAAACCAATTTCCTAGGCATTGGTGAAGAGTTTTCCCCAGAGCTTCAGTGTTAGAACATAGATAGGAAAGCTTCCTGAGCACTGAGAAGCATACAGCCATTGTTTTCTGGATGATCATCAGCTCTGATATAGTGTTGACAGAATCAGCCATTGATGTTGTAGTAGAGTTGTGCATACAGGGGTATTAAGAGCTTTGTACTGTTGGGCTACATCCACACATGCAGGCATGTGCTCTTGCAGAAGGTCAAATAGCAGCAGCACAAATTTGGGAAAATTGTGTCACTTGGGGCAAACTGACCCTGCCCAGCTCCTCCTGGGTCTGCAGCCAGGGGGAGCTGAAGGCTGGGGCCCTGGAGAGCAGCTCAGGGCTACTTGTCCTCAGAAGCTTCTGAGGCCCAGCCAGTTGATATATGGGGTCAGCAGCAGCAGCCCTGATCTAGAGTGGATCTAGAGTGGACCCTGCACCCTCTACCCACTGCAGCAATCTGGCAGCAGGGGCTTCTGCCTGTCTGTGACCCGTTACCCCTGCAAGAGCCCCTTGAACCTGCCAGACCTGGATGGGGACTTCATAACCACATGGGATGTCACATAGATACTGTAGCAGAGCTGCCTGCACCTCCAGACCAGCTGGCAGTGAGCTGTGGTTGCACAATTGACCTTCAGGAGCCACTGCTTCTATGTGTCCCCCAACCCTGCCATCTGGGCAGCTATCACCTGGAGGATATGGTCATTGTGGTGGCCTTCTTTGGACTGTCAAAGCATGACCAGGAGGTCAGCCACCTCATCTGTGCTCTAGCTGGGTCCCTGATGCCAGCCCTGGGCAGGCTTGTCTGCCTGGGTCTCACCACTTGACTCACTAGCAGGAATCATGGTGTTCCCTGTTTAAAAATTACAAATTCTCTGATAAAAAAATCCCAAATTCACTCATTAAGATACCCAAAAATCCATGTCCTTCAATGATTAAAATGAAATGCCACTATACACACACACACACACATATGGGGTGATCAGAAAGTTCTAAGACTTAGCCTTTATTTTAAAGAATAGTGTACAAACATTTTTATGAGCGGTCCCCTTCAAAGTAATCTCCCCCAGACGATATGCACTTGTCCTAACGTTCCTGCCACTTTCGGAAGCAATGCTGAAAGTCTTCAACTGTGAGCTTTTTGAGTTCTGCTTTCACATTCTTATGGATGGTTGGAATGTCATCAAATTGCCTTCCTTTCAGCTTCATTTTGATTTTTGGGAACAGAAAAAAATCACATGGGGCAAGGTCAGGTGAATACGGAGGGTGTGGTATCACAGGAATGTTTTTTTCAGCCAAAAATTCTTGAATGGAGACAGCAGTGCTAACTAGGATGTGAGGACAGCTGCCCCTGCAGCCTTACCTCCCACCAGCAGGCCCCATCTTCTCTGGTACCTGGGCATGCAGGGTATGAGATACGGTGGGGATGTGGGGTTTGCAAGAGGGTGGTAGGAAGAGCTATGAGGGGTGTGAGGTTTGTGGGTAGGTGTGTGGGAGCTGTGGGTATGGGGGGCTGTGGGGTTTGTGGATGGGTTTGTGGGGTGGGGGGTTTATGGGGGTATATGGGGTTTGTGGAGGAGTTTGTGGGTGTGGGGTTTGTGAAAGGGGGTTTGAGGTGGGTGCCACCAAACACCCATCCCCCCGCCTCCCGCTGTGGTGCACAGCCCCTGGCATTGGCAGCAGCAGCCAGCTGGGCCATCGGGGCACTCATGGCCCACTGAAAACACAGGTCCCAGTGGTGTGGCACATGGTGAACAGAGTTGGCCTGGCCCACTGGTGTGTGCCTTTGCACAAGACCAGGATGGCTCCTGCCACCACCACCCAGCACTGCCTCCAGGAGCTGCAGGTGGTGGCAGGAGCCATCCTGGTGCACACCAGTGGTCTGGGCTGGGCCAGGTCTAATGTAGCACTGCACTACTGGGGGCCGTGCTTACAGTTGGCCATGAGCACCCTGATGGCCTGGCTGGCTGCTGCTGCCAGTGCCAGGGGCTGTGTGCCACAGAGGGGTGGAGTGGTGGGCATGTGGTGGCCCTACCTTAAGTCCCCCCACAAATCTCACACCCACAACTCCCCCATACAAACCCCATACATCTCCCCACAAACCCCACACCCAGAAACCCCACAGTCCCTCCCTTCCTCATGTCCCTGCTTACTGGGGCGGAGCCTTGGTCTGAGCCACTACTGCAGTGTTGCCCCACTT